CTAGAATGATAAAAAGATTGGAACACTTTCCCTATGAAGAAAGGTTAAAGTGCTTGGGGCTCTTTAGCTTGGAGAAATGACGGCGGAGGGGTGACATGATCGAGGTTTATAAGATTATGCATGAGATAGAGCAGGTTGAGAAAGAAGTACTTTTCTCCCTTTCTCACAATACAAGAACTTGTGGGCAATCAATGAAATTGCTGAGTGGTTGGGTTAGAACAGATATCATTGTCCAGCATAGGTTATAGATTGTTAATGATGTGTTGAACGGGTTTGAGTTGAGAGCTGTATGTGACCACCAATGGTATTCCGTTGTTGTTTCGTTGATTGACAGTGTTTAGAATTAATTCACATAAATGTTTTAGGGGCCTATTTTTCATCAGATGCATTTTTGCTCTTGGCACAGCCCAAAATAACTACAACATGTAAAAATAATATTATTTATTGTATACAGCTGGCAAAAAGGTATTAACGGTGATATTCAAAATATTGTATTTATATGAAGTCAGTTTTCCAGAAGCTGGAGAAAACTGAGATGAGTTCGGCTGTGTAAACTATGAGGAATGGAAGTGCAGTTCTCTGACTTGTAAAGCATATGCTTCTGATGGATTGTCAAAATCTGTTCCGCTAGTGTGAATCTTGTATTCTGTGAAGTTTTCTGTGTGATTTCATGTAGGTATAATATTGTTACTGTTTATAGATTTGGATAACAAATAGTAATAGATACGTCTTTACCCCTGTTTGTGTTGATAACCATCTCAGCATTCAGGAATGCATGCACACACAGGTACTTGTCTGAGCCACACATTCATACATGGGTTTTAGTGCAAATGACAGGTATGCTAATCACGTGCCACACAGACCTTTTATGAAAGAACCATGGGACACCTCATCAAACAGCAGAGGAAAGAGGAGTATAAATGTGTTTGTGTAAAGTCATCCAGTGTGTTTCAAGCCATTTTTCAGCAGGCAGTTCTAGGAAGATGGGCTTCCTTCTCCTCTGAACTTACTGAATTTTCAGGAGTCTACAATCTGGATTTTTCTTCAGTCTCTGCTGAAAACTCCCAACACGCCAGAATTTACTTGGATACCAAGTACAAATTTAGAAACCAGGAGTTGAATCCAGCCAGCTTTTCCACACAGCCTCACTGAATTCCCTTTCGTACTACAGCCTCCATCCCGTGTGTCTTTTCTCCATGTAGGTCCCATGAGCTTCACTCTTGCCTTTCCTGGTGGTCAGGGGAGACCCTCTCCTCCCTTTTTCACCAGTCAGAAGGCTGGTTGGGTCCAACCCTATACCTGACTGTGTTAATCTTATGTTTTATAAATGTCTGAGTGTAATATCTTCCAGTTACAATGAAAATGTTGAGAAGTTGGGTTTGACTAAATGAATGGGACTAACCATGAAGATATTTGCAGCTGATTGGTAGCTGTACACATCATGTGAATGCATGTGGAGCATTTCTCAAATTTCATCCTGTTTAGAAGGAATGTGAACATTGATAAATTGTTTAGGCTATGTTGGTGTTATGCCATACCTAGAGAGCAATCCGTTTTCCTCACTGCTGTCACAATACCTTGCAATATTAAATCACCTCCAAACAGCAGCAGCAAACAGCATTTAAAGTAACAGTAATGAAAATTTTATTCCTTTTTCTTAGGCATAGCCTTTTAATTTGGTAAATGGGACAGGTACAACATAGAAATAAGCAGACAGTATGGGAGGGATACTGAGAATGTGAAAAACGTAGCCATGACCTTGAAAATGGTATCATAAAGCACCTTAAAGCAACTGTACTTTTCCAATACAGCTTTTGAGAGACCTCTTTTTAGATTGCTCAATATAATATATATTGTATTTCCTCTCCCTTAAAATGGGTGTACTAGTTAACCCAAGTTTTGTGATGCAAACAGAATTATGCTGTAAATTTATACATCTGTGTTTCCTTATATATAGATCAATCTTAAAGGGAGATATTATATAAATAGTATACATTGTATATATCCTGATTTCTCAGGATGTAACAAGTACAAGCTGTGATCTGCAGGTCAAATTTGAAGTGTATGATTTTGTGCTGAGTTCCTTTGAATGGGGAGATGAGATACATACAATAAAATATGCACATCAGATTTCATTCCAGTATTTCATTGTCCAACAGAGATTGCATTAACAAATACGTAAAAAGGTAAAGGTTTCCCTTGCTTGAAACCGACTCTAGGGGGCGGTGTTCAGTAACACCAAATGGTCATGTTAAAGCCAGGCTCCCCTTTACTTAGCCAGTAGCACATCATAAGAATCATGTCACTTTTATTTTTGTTAATTGCTCATTGATGCCAAGGTGGTGTTTTAAATATTTATTTATTTATTTATGAATTTTGACTTTTAGGCCACCTTCCCCCTGTAAAACAGGGCTCAGGGCAGCTTACAACAGTTTGTGATGAGCACAGCTGAACATTTTTTTAAAAAAATCAAAATATATTTAGTGAATGCATTTGCAAGCTGGCTGATTTTTTGCATTGCTGCCAGATTGATTGGGCCATCAGGTTGCTCAAGAGTGCAAGTGTGATGTTGCTCAAGCAACCATTTCTCTTTAAGTTATGACTCATAACTTATTTTTTTTTAAGTTTGGCAGACCATATAGACAATATGGATCAGTGGTTTTTCATACTTCCTACTATGCTGAAACCCAAGACCCAGTTAAGTGCGCGGACTCTAATCTGGAAGAACTGGGTTTGATTCCCCACTCCTCCACTTGCAGCTGCTGGATGACCTGGGGCAAGCCATAGTTCTGTCAGAGCTGTTCTCGAAAGAGCTCTCTCAGCCCCACCTACCTCACAGGGTGTCTCTTGTGGGGAGGGGAAGGGAAGGGAGTTTGTAAATTGCTCTGAGACTCTTGAGTGAAGGGCGGGGGGTATAAATCCCCTCCCTCCTCCTCCTCCTCCTCTTCCTCTTCTTCTTCTTGTATTGTCATTGTAACAGAAGGTTGTAGGGAGTGTTGTAGATGCTCACTGGACTCTCTATTACTCTTGGCATGCCTCTAACATGCTGCTATCCCCCTCTTGTCACAACTGCAAGGAAAGTAGTGGTTTTATGGGGGCTTGCCTGCCCTTACCAATTTCATTGAAGACCACTTAATAAGCTATCCAAGAATCCTGGAGCACAGCACAACTTGAAAACCATAGATTCAATTATAGATCTTTGTGGACTGGATAATAGTAAGGGCATATACAACTCCAAGTTGGGGCTCTACCAACAATGGCAATCTACTTGGGTGCAGTATACCAACATCTGCAAGGGCCAGATTTTCAGTGCTCTCACTAGGGTTCTTGCAGGTTTTTGACCCAGTAGAAAGCTGAATTCCTTAGAAAGATTTTGATTGGCACTGCATCCAAAGGGTTCATGGCGTTCTGATGGGAGGCTTGGCACACTGCAGGCTTGTGTGTACAAATTCTAACATGCAGTGTAGCTGCTGGTTGTATATTGTCTACAGTGAACTTAAGTTACTGACTCGAGTTCTCTAGCACTCCAGCTGTTAAATTGTTGACTTTCCACAACCTAGTTTAAATTTCAGTGGATGCAGTGTTCAGTAAAGGCAGAAAGTTGTTAATGCAGAGCTGATGGTCAAGTATCTGTTGAACCAAACACAACTAGGCTCTGGTGTAGAGAGTGAACAATGCCACCTTTTAACTGTGCCCTTATGAGCTTGTGCACAAAACTGTTAAAACTGCCAACTTTACTAGTTTGTAGTGAAAACCTGTTGTCAGCTAAGCTGCCAATAGTGTGGTGTGTGGTTCCCTTTCATGTGCATTCTTTCCCTTTTGCTTAATTGCCTCTTCGCTGCAACGCATATCTCTCAAGTCCACTGGAGGAGTTGCTATGTCTCAACACAGAAAGAGTCGTGGGAAGCATCTTACCTGTTTTGCTTTTGCAGCCGTTCTCAGCTGAATGCCCCCGCGCGGGAACCCATGTAATTGGGTACTACGTGGGGGGGGGGGTGTATACGAATGCCCTATAACCTATTATGCGCATAGATCACCCGCCATTCCTAACAGTGTTCATGTTACTGCATCTATAGCTTTTCAATAAAAGTAAAACCTTCCTGGAAGCGTGTACTTGGTTGTTTTGCTGTGGGTCTTGACACCTGTTTAATATTTCCTGATGACAGACAGGTGACATTGAAATCTGGTGAGCAATCAGGGTGACCAGCTGCAATTTGGGGAGTTGGGGGATGTTTATTTAGCCAAGGTCCTTGGGGGGCAAGAGTTCTTAGTATGACTTTTTTATATCTCCCCCCCCCCACACACACACACACACACAGCTAGGGAAATATGAACCTGTCATGGTTTTCTCACCTGCCAACCTGATGCCTCTACCCTGCCTAAGTTCTTGCCTTTATCCCTTTAAACTGTGTCAGGCACAACTTTGTTGCTCACCAAAGCTTGGGAATTCTTGTCTTTAAAGGTGAAAAAAAATGATTATGGATGAAATTAAAACATGTAAATTGGGGGGAGGCATGTATTCATTCAAAGATGGAGGACTTTCGTTACTTACTGGAATAAGCTAAAACCAGAGAAAGATGTGAAAGCTGAGATGCTGTTATGTATTTAGGTTCCAGCATTTCCTTGCCTAATAAATTTGATATACTGAATTTAGGAGATGTTATGAAGGTTGACAGTGTTTAGATATTAAGATTTAAGGGTCACCATTCAGTTGACATGGTCAACTGATGTGGTTATTTATATGAGCTTGGTGTCATTGTACCATTTAGTATATTTGTACACTTCGTTTTTCTTTATGCTTTGTAAAAAAAATCACCAACTTTTTTTAAAAAGCTCACGTATTTTCTTGTGACACTGCACAGAAAACAGTCATTCCATAGAAACTTCTGATACATTTTAGACATTTTTCTAAAGCTGACGACAGCTTTCACAACCCAGCGATTGTCTCGGTGTCCCTTCCCCAAGCACCCCCTTTTAGCATCATTTCCTTTTCTTATCAGGGATGCGCCACCTCTTCTTGCAGCATCTTTGATTAACGCAGCAATCAGTGATCTGCTGCAGACAGATCTTCGTGATTTCAAAAAGCAGCATATGGAAGGGGAGGAAGCCGGAGACCCCGGGACAGCTTTCTGTGAGTACGCTTCCCTTACACTGGAAAACCTGCAGTATATGAATCCTGAACTCACACTGCGCTCTGGGGCCTCCTGACACCTTTTCTGGTGCCCACCAAGTGTTTTTAAGAAGTGGGAGGGGCCAGGTAGGGCTTTCGCCCTGTAAGCCTTCTGATTGACTATTGGAGATTTGATTGGCTGGCAAGATTTTTTAAAAGTGTTGCTTTGGCAGCAGTTGCCACCACAGCGCAAGGATCTGTGCTGTGTTATTGAAGTTAAGCTATGGCAATCATTTTGTGGCTGGCTCCGCCTCCTGCAGCAGCCATTTTGTGGCAGCCATTTTGTTGTTGCACCCACTATGCCGTGTCGGTATTCCAAATATACCTACAGGCTCAAAAAGGTTTAAGCTGTTGATGCAAGGTGCAGATTTAGAACTACTGCTTTTGTAGTACACGATTACATGGCAGTTCCTTTGTGCAAGATCTGGTCTAGGAGAAGAGCAAACCTGAATCTTGATAAGAACTGACAAATGGTTGCAACAGGTCTGCAGGAAGCTGTGAGGCAACTCTGGCCGGTATGATTAGCAGTATTCGTCTGTTCACACTAGGAAGTCCTTTATTGTTCAAGGAACAGCAAGAAGCTGAAACAACGTGGGTCACTCTGTTTTCGATGAGCCAGTGAATTTGCCACAAAGTGACTGATAAAAGCCCCTCTTGCCTCTCAGATCATCTGATTTCCCCCTCCTCATATAATTATGCTGGCTTCCTGTATCTTTTCTGCAAGCCTGCACATATTTCTCTTTCTTACCCTTAAAGCTCTCAGTGGTCTCTTCATACCTCATCTTTCTGTCTGTATTGCCTCTGAGATCCATGCCTGTGAACGTCACTCACCCAACTCTCATACCCTTCGTTGCCAACAAGTCTTCTCTTTTAAACATCTTTGCTCATTTTCTCTTGATGCCCCTGATGCCCAAGACTCCTTCACAGGACATCTGTGTGGTCACCAAAGTTCCCTCTAAGCTGAGTTAGTGGGATCTAGCTCACAGTTTTTTAGCCTGCAGCTCACACGTTTTTGTCTCCTCTCTGGAAGGATATGGCTCCAGAGCAGACTAATTTATGCAGCGGCCGAATCACTCGCTCACAACTTTAATGCCAGCAGCTCACAAAGTAGAATTTCTGTTCACGAGACTCCACACCTTAGAGGGAGCATTGGTGGTCACCTGTCTCTCCTCTGTCAAATCCCACCCGTTGTTGAAGAGCTCTGATTATGAGGAACAGCAAGGGAGAACGGGTGCTACTGAGGCGTGGCAGATATGATTTTGGGTTTTACACATCATGGTGGTACTGAAAAAATTGAAGAGGGTGAGAAAGAGAAAATGAGTAGGAGCACGAGACTTTAGACCAGGGATCCTCAACCTTTTTGAGCCTGTGGACACCTTTGGAATTCTGACAAACAAAACGAAAAAACATCCGTGAACATCAGACCCCAAAGTACCAACAGTCGAAGTATAAGCTAGTGTCTGTTTGAGGTGCATACAATTCACAGATGTACAGAATACAGTTGGTAATGTTTGTTTGAAATGTGTACAGTTCACAAATGCACAAAATGCAATATCAATAGATCATAAGAAAAATCCTATTCGGCATCGTTTCCTGATTTATTTTTAACGTTTCAAATGGAATTCTTCCTCAGGAAACATCCTGTAGAGAGCAGTATTTTACAGGAGTAGAGAGATTATATCCGTTTTCAGCAAGAGCTGTGTTTAAAAATTAGAAATGTAAATACTGACTCTGAACAATAATACAGATACAAGTTTTAAAACAAGTTACACACTTACAGTCACCTTCCTTCCTCTCTCTCGTCTCACTTGCTGAAATTTCGTGTTTAAAGGACCTGTGTTTTTTGCTTGTGTGAAAGCTAATATGTACATAAGTGATAGTGAACAAATAACAAAAATAAAGAACACCATGGTTTTAGCAGATGCTAGAAAGGACTTATTCTTGTGCTCAAGTAGTCTTCGAGGCTACTTTTCCCTCTGAACAAAGGGAAGTAATGTTGGCTCCATCTGCTGGGACAGATGAAAAGTGCGTGTCATTTAATAGCATTGAGAATGACCCCTGAGTTAGGTCCCTGGTCTATCTAGCTTAGTATACTGTGATTTTCAGTGGCTCTTCAAGGTTAATATGGACTTCAGGATATGTGGCTTTTCCTAGAAAATAGTCATTTCTCTCTTTTATTATTCAAGGCCTTTTGTTGATGGGGACTGAAGATAGATTACCCCAAATGCTCAGCATTCTGAGAATTGCTTCAAATTATTATGTTTCATTTTTTGTGCTAGTGCTTGACGGAGGACCTTTGCAGCACTGTTTCTTTAACAAGCTCTGGGATGTTTGTTGCAAATGGCAGAAGCAGCTACCACCACTGAAGCCTCTGGAACGCTACCTCCAGATCTCCATCCATGCAACACGCAATTCCCGCCGGAAGATGGAGGACAGGCACGTTTCCCTTCCGGAATTTAATCAGCTCTTTGGCATGACGGTGAGGGTTCTGTTTGTTTCTCGGGCCGAAATAGGTACTGACAAATGCCATTCCCTCCAAAAACACTCTTCCCCATGCCCCAGTGGAGAGAGTCAGTCAGCAAGCGGCAACTGTAATGCATTTCCTCTGCCATTAGCCATGTTGCAGCTTCTCATTGGCTTATTTGGTAGCCAATCTCAAGCCCCATTGTTCAGTGCATTGATACCATGGGATGGGACTATAGAAGATTGGAGCTTCCAAATGGGGAGCTCCATGACTGCTTCCTTTGCCAGATCAGTGTGGTGTGGGGTTAACCAAGCCATGTCAGCCAGGCAAATGTGAGCAAGGAAAGCCTGGATCATGTTGAATTCCTAAGATTTGCAAAGGAAATGCTGTAGAATCAATATATACATGTACCTCACAGTTGTTGTCTTCTGCTGGAACCTTTGGCAGGAAAGTGTAACACAGAGGCACGCACGAGGAAATAAGCCCCCCCCCCCCAGTATTAATATCAGATGATTTGCTGTATAAAAATGAGATAATTGGAATGATCAGGGGTTGTTTCGTAGAAAAAGAGCTAGGGGAACTCATTAGCATAACTCATTAGCATATGCCACACCCCCTGACATCACCGGAAGTGTGTCATAAGGCCACACACCCCGCCCCCAACGGTCCCGGCCGCCACCGCCGGCCTTGCAGCTCCACTGCCGAGCCCCATGAGGGGCCCGGCGGTGGACCTGCAAGGCCGACGGGAGTGCAAGGAAGCCCCGCAAAGGCCCTCCCTGGCCCCAGGCAGGCAGGGGTGGGGAGAGGCGGGGAGGAAGCAACTTACCCTCCCTCTTCTCCTGCCTCCTCCTGGCTGAATGAGGGCCGGAAGCGGGGCGGCCGGAAACAGGGGGCGGGGCTTTGTCATGTGCCCCGGCCCCCGTACCTCACCCGGGGGAACTGCGATCCCCCCCGAAATGACCTCTGGGAATGATAAATGAATGTTGATAGTTACTGGAATGAGCAGGAGCCAGTTCCTTGCAAGTGGTTCTTTTTGCGGCCATGTTAAACAGAAAATGTGTGAAGTGGGCTATCATTTCACAGTTGTTGATGTGGAAAAACAGTTGTACATGACCACAGAACCTTGCTTGCATTTTTTCTAGCCATTGTGGCTGTTGGGAATCATAGCTTTAAGAGATTAAGGGGTACCTTGCTGAAAAATCAGTGAGTGGGATTATGCCTCCACATTCCCAGCCACTAGGGATGTTCTGCTCCAATCACAGCTGCATTTACGCATGCAAGTTTCATTCCATTTGTGTTCCAGTAAACTGGAGGGTTGGGTTTTTTGGCTCTGATTCAATCCCAAGCATCTCAGTTTGCAGGTGTTAGGCAAGCTCTCTGCTTATGACTCTAGTTTTAGGTGGGTTGCATTGGAAGAGCAAGATTTCAGTAGCGCCTTGAAGACCAACAAGATTTCCAGGATACAAGCTTCCAAGGGTCAAAGCTCCCTTTTGACTCTCAAAAACGTATACCCTGGAAATCTTGTTGGTCTTCAAGATGCTACTGGATTGGACTTGCTTATGAACTTGGAGACCAGCTGCCAATCAGAGCTATCAGTCATTGACTCAGTAAAAGGCTGCTACATATGCTCATAAAGTACAAAACTATTTAAAAGTAATAAGATCAGTGGAGGTCAAAGTTCAGAGGGAGAGCTCATGTAATATGTGCAGAAAGTCCCAGGTTCAATCTCCGGCATGTAACGGATCTTCGGTAGAGAACTGGGGAAGTCCTCTCTCCGCTGGAGACCCTGGAGAGCCACTGCAAGTCAGGATAGATGATAGCAAACTAGAAAGCTCGGGGCATTTTCATGTGTTCAAGGAGTCTTTCTCATCTCTTGACATGTCCCACTGAAAGGATGGCGTGGAGAGAGCATACTTTGCTGTGTTTGACGGTCACGGTGGAGTCGACGCCGCTAACTATGCGGCAGCTCATTTGCATTTCAACATCGCGCATCACAAGGAGATTGTGAAAAACCCAGCAGAGGCCTTGAAAGATTCTTTCCAGAAAACAGACGAAATGTTCCTTTCTAAAGCCAGAAGGGAGGTGAGTGGTTGGAAGCAAGCGAACAATAGTTTTGAACAATTATTTGCATGCTGGGTGGTGGGAGGGAAGACGGGGAGCGGTAAGTGCATCCCCAGACAATTACTCTTTTGTAACAGCATAGCTTCTATTAGTTTGCTGGATATCCCATATAAATATTTTATTGGTTCACTTAATACACATTATCCTATGAATCACTTTCCAGAAATCTGAGGAAATGAATTTTTTAAATTCAGGTCAGCACAGATCTCTAGCTGGACCTTTCCAGAAAAGTAGCCATCTGTCTCTGGCTAGGCTGATGAAATGGTGTTTTCTCCCTTCTTCACTTCAGACCGAGAGGGGGGTGTTGACAAGATATAATATGCAAGCCAAGAATTAGGAGAACCACAATCCTTAAAGCTGGGTTTTGGCTGCTACAACTGATCTCTTCTTTGTTCCTCAGGAGAATGAGGGAGCTTGAAATACAAGCACGGTAATTGCTCTACCAATATCTCCAAGGAGGAAAAAAGACCAATTTAAGTCATTGATTTCAATTGATTTTGTGATTATTTCCTGAACAAGAGAATGCAACAAACAAAATATTGGTTTGCAACTAAACAGCCCTTAGACTATATAGAGCACAATCCAAAACTTTGGACATATGTGGTCCACATGTCTTTTACCCCACAAGTTTATCTGTGTGGATATAAGTTGAGCAGCTGTGAAATGAATGGATTGCTGTTTGGATCTCTTTTTACTCTTAAAAGAACACAAAGCAAAACAACTTATTTGGTGACTAAATTACTTAAACTTTCCAAAATTAAGATCTTATTGTTTCTCAGGAGGATGGGGTTCCCCTCCATGACATGAAACATAGTGGGAAATCCCATCAGTGTTCTGCCTGGTTTTCGCTGGGTTTGTTCCACTGGCTCTCTCAGAGAGTAAATCGGGGGCCTTTGGAGTTAAAATGGTGGCCCTCTTGCAGGCGGCACCAATTTATTCTGTGATTTCAAGTAGATGAGCTTAGCACTGGAGTGTTAGTGTGTGATGGATGCCCTTTTATATTTGTAATAGAAAGACAGAACTTGATCTTTCTCTGTAATCAGGTGGGTGTAAGTACTACGGGTTTTGTTCTTGCAGCCCTAACCTCCCTCGTTTAAAGCACCACCATTTAGTGCCATCGTTAACAGAGCAGGCATGGAATGATAAAAGTGTCTGTGAGCTTCGATAGAGTGCCGTTTACTCATAACTGAGGGATTGCTGCCCTGATCTGGATGGCCCAGACTAGCTCCATCTGATTAGACCTCAGAGGCTAAAGCAGGGTCGGCCCCGGTTAGTACTTGGATGGGAGACCACCAAGGGGGTCCGGGGTTGCTATGCAGAGTCAGGCAACAGGAAAACACCTCTGTTCATCTCTTGACTTGAAAACCATAGCGGGTTGCCGTAAGTCAGCTGTGACTTGACGACACTTTCCACCACCACCCTGTCCCTTCTCACTTGGGGTTAAAGATCAAGGCAGATGACAAAGATTCTCCACAGTTTCACTTCATAGCATTTCTCTTGAACTCTTTGTGTGTGTGTGTGTGTGTGCGTGCACATAACTTCGCATCTCCCTTCATGGTATCCTTAAACACTCTCCAATCATTTTTTTAAAGCACTTCCATCCCACTGCTAAGACTTTGTTTGTACCCATTATTTCCGGCTGCTACTGTGTTTGTAACCATGAAGTTTAACATGAAGGAATGTTTGTAAAAACCAGCCACGATCTTTAGTACCTTCTTCCAACACAGTTGCCTTTAGACTCAGATAATGATCTTAAGAACACTGTGTATTATTTATAAAATGCTCTTCTGTGCAAAATGCGTGAAACATTTTGTAATAAAATCAAATAAAAGTAAATCTGAACAACAAAAAAACTTAAATCAAAGAGGAGACATCAGGCCAGCACTTCCATGTTGTAAAAAACAGGCAGCCCCAAGTCTGGGTGGTTGTGTGTGACTGTCTGGAGCAACAATCCACAACCTTTTTGAGCCTGTGCACACCTTTGAAATACTAATACAGGATGCTGGGTGCAATCACAAAATGGCTGCTGCCAGAGGCAGAGCCACACAGACGCTAGAAAATAAGAGTGTTAATTTAAACAATCCACTAGGAAACAGGAGAGAGAGACAGAATAGTACCGACACTGTGGTGGCAGCTCCCACTGGAGCAACTTCGTTTTAATTTGCACAGCTAATCAGAAACCATGCTGGGCAAGAGCCCCACCCACTCTCTGAAAAGCTTGGGCCAGTCACATGGTGTCCTTGGGCCAGTCACATACTCTCAGCCTAACCTACCTCACATGGTTGTTGTGAAGATAAAATGGAGGAGATATAAGTTGCTTTGGGTCCCCACTGGGTAGAAAGGTGGGGCATAAATGAAGTAAATAAATAAATAATAAAATAGTTTGGAAAATTGACCATGAGATTTGGGCTGTAACAGTGGAACTGGGGGAGGAGGAGGAGGACAGAGTGTGTAACAATAACTAACTTCGGAGGGTGGCCGTGTTGGTCCGCAGTAGAACAGCTGGATACAAGTCCAGTAGCACCTCCACAAGCTTTTCAAGGTATGAGCTTTCTGGAGTCAAAACTTCCTTTGTATCTGATGATGGAAGCTTTGACTCTTGAAAGCTCGTACCCCCAAAATCTTGCTGGCCTCTGAAATGCTACCGGACTTGCATCTAACAATAACTAGCATTTTATTCCTTAACAGGTATTTTGAATGACCCGACAGAGCTGATCACACTGTGTGAATTTGCTGTAACTGTTTTTTTTCTGCATCCCTGATGGAACGTCTCGGGCACCTGAGGGCTCAATAACGAGCACTGATTTCCCCTCTGCAGTTACGTTTCAGACATTCAGGCCCTCTTTAAGACATGTTCTCCCCTTCCTGCTCCACAGAAGCTGCGCAGTGGGAGCACCGGTGTGGCTGCCTTGATTGTGGGGAACAAGCTACACGTTGCTTGGCTGGGGGACTCCCAGGTCATGCTGGTGCAGAAGGGGAAAGCTGTAACCCTGATGGAGCCTCATAAGCCAGAGAGAGAGGTAACTGCAGCTCCTCTGCCTGCCACAGCTCTTTTGAATGGATTTTGATGCTTATTTATCTGATGGTATCTTTCCTCCATGTATGTGGAAATAACATGACTCTAAATATATTTATCTGTGTGTGTAGATATTCCTTTGAAAGTGGTGGTATTTAAGAACAAAATGGTAGAAATAGGGGATGCAGATCATTACATAAAATGAGTGTGTGCATTAAACATTTAGTAGCGAGAGATGTATTTCAAAGTTATTAATGGGACCTCATTGCTGGGTGACCTTGGGCCAGTCACACTCCCAGCCTAACCTAACCTCACAGGGTGGTTGTGAGGATAAAATGGACAAGTGGGAGAATGTTGAAAGCCACTTTGAGTCTCTATTTGGGAGAAAAGTGGCGTATAAAGTAAATTAAATAAATCAATACTTTTTTTCTAGTTAATTACAGATACAGTAAAAACACTACCAGTGTCATGTACTAATTGGAGACTAGGACTGGGAGTAGCTTTTTGGATAACCTTGAGCCCAGTCATTCTCTCTTTCAGACCAACCTACCTCCCAAGGGGGGTTGTGAGAATAACATGGAGGAGAAGAGAACTATGTATGCTGCCCTGAACTCCTCAGAATAATAATAATAATAATATACTTTATTGTCATTGTACATAGTACAACGAAATTAAGATGCAATCATTCGGTGATCTACAACCATACTCATATACACTCACACAACCATTCACAACCAAAGGAGGACAGGATAAAAATGTAGTGAACAAGAAGAGCTCTTGCATGTTTCTCTCCAGTGCAATCAGAACTTACAATTAGGGGTCTGTGCTCAGTATATACAGATCAGAGATCTATATTCGGCTAACGAAATAGCCTCACCCAAATAAAAGCCTTTATTATTCAATATTATTTTAATTATTGAATGATTTGATATACCCGAATTCCAATACAAAAGCGAACTGGTATTTGGAAGTATTCGAAATACCGGTATTTTTTGGGTTCCAATAGACCCGAATTGGGGGGGGGGGGAGGCGGGACACAATTTTTTTGCACACCCATACGTACAGTGTCATTTCCTTGGGATTTTTGTTTTGCCCTGTTACAGCCCCATCTCCATTGGCAGTGCAATATAAATAGTAAATAATACTAATGTATGCCCGGAGTAGCTGTATGACAGCTGATTCAGCACCTCCGTCTCCAGTGCACTCTAGGAAGCTAAAGAACTACTGAGCAAAGTTTGAGTCCCTTGGCACCTTTAAGACCAACAAAGTTTAATTCTGGGTATAAGCTTTCGTGTGCGTGCACACTTCTTCAGATTCTTCAAAACTACCGATTAGAGATTATTATCTCACCTGTTCTTCCAAAAGAGTTCAGAACAGCATACAGGATCCTGTTCTTTTATCCTCGCAATAGCCCCATGGGAAAAGCTAGAGAAAATTGCATTCCCTGGGAGTAGGGGTGTGCATTCAGATCTACCAGCACCGAAAATATACCCAAGAAATACCTTATTGGGACTTTTCGGGTATATTTCAGCTTCTCAATGTATCGGGGGTTTCTCAGGAAAACCAGGGGAAAATTCTGAGAAAATCCTGGATATATTTGGGGATTTTGGGTAGATCTAAAAACAGCTGTTTGTTGGGCAGGCTTATGCAGTCACTTTAAAGGGACTGCAGAAGTCAGCCTGAGGATCAGTCAAGGTGGTGGGGAGCTGTCAACTGAGAACTCCCCACTGCCTGGGCTTTGGCTGGCTTCTCTCGTAGCCCAGTTTAAACTGGGCTGCAGGAGAAGCCAGCCCAAGATCAGCTGGGTCAGCGGGGAGGTGAGAGCTCCCCGCTGGTGCAAAAATTGCACACCCCTGCCTGAGAGTAAAGCCCCATTGAGTAGATCTGAGTAGGATTTGGACTATATCTGCTTAGCTTTTGGGGGCTCAGGCACTTTGGCCCCTCCTGGCTTTTTTCACTCTCCACAGGAGTGGCTTGATGGGATTTTTATTGATTGATTGCAGGATGAGAGACAACGGATTGAAGCCTTAGGAGGCTGTGTGACCTATATGGACTGCTGGCGTGTCAACGGGACCCTGGCTGTTTCCAGAGCGATTGGTAAGCAAGATCTTGAAGCTGCTCAGCCTATCATAGAATGACCCTTTGATGGAACATTGCTAGCCTGTCCAGTGTGACTCAGGGTGTGTGTGTGTGTGTCTGTGTGTCTTTCCCCCACCACATATTTTGCAACTTTCATAGCAAATAAACTATGTCAAAAAAACACTCTCAAACTCCAGACAATCCAAAACTAAAAACTGGAATCTTATGCAGGGTTACTCCAGTCAAAGCTCACTGATTTCTGTGGACAGACTGGAGTAACAGTGTAGGATTGCACCGCAAACGACTTCCAAATTGATGGAAATAGTTTTTGGACATCAGCTGGCTTCTGTGGAAGTCTGAAACGAACAGGACGAGGCACACACATCTCTCCCAGATCTGCAGAAAGCCATTTAGTTTTCTTATTAACAGAGACGGCAGCATTTGTTAACCTTGGACTCGGCTGCTGCCGTTATTGCTCCTGCATTAGTAATGGCTCTGTGGAGCGCATTGCCATAGCAGCACACACCTGACAGTACGGGTTGAAGAAGAGAGCTTTTCTGGTTCCTTCCCTGAAGCATCTCTAATAATACAGTTCTGCATCCTTGGCTGGCCCAGGTGTGTGTTAATATCTGAAACCAGTGTCGATGGCTACTGTTCAGTTGCATGTTTGAATATTTAAATATGCCTGCAGTAAGAATCAGTGTGACGTAATGATCTAGTGTGTCCAATTAGGGCCAGGGAGAACCAGGATCATATCTCCACTCAGCCATGATGCTCACTGGGTGACCCGGGGTCGGTCTGTCTGTCTCTCTCAGCCTAACTTGCAGGGTTGTTGGGAGAGTAAAACAGAGGAAGAGAACACCATTTGTGTGGCCCTGGGCTCTTCAGAGGAAGGGTGCAATTTAAAAATGTGACATCTATTCATGTATATTGAATGCCTTATACTGAATCAGACAATTGGTTCATCAAGGTCAGTCTTGTCTGCCCTGACTGGCAGCAGCTCTCCAGGGTCTCAGGCAGAGGGTCTTTCACATCACCTGCTGCCGGATCCTTTTTAACTGGAGGAGCTAGGGATTGAATCTGGGTCCATATTGTGTTACTGAGCCACTGACCCTTCCCAACATTACAACATCTCCGTTCTGCCATTCCATCAATTAAAAAAATCAATCATTAGTCAATAACAAGAGCTGTCAGCCAGATAATAAGGTACTGCCTTCATCTCTAGACTCCAGCATCACACTGAAGGACTGTTTTTTAATTATGCAATAAAACACTGGCAAGACAGGCTACCTTTGGCAGGGGGTTCCACAAGCGGAGCGCTGCTCTTTTGACAGCTCAGTGCAACAGCGCCTGGGAGAGCTTCAGGGAACAATGCAATGCACAACCCCAGTCTTATCCCATTGAACTGAATGAGCTTAGATTGGAGTAATGCTGTACTGGTTCCAACACAATACATAACAGGCCACAATGTGGCCATCACGCACGAGCTTTGTGTTGCCTGTTCCTTTTTCTTCTTTCCGCACATTTTAAAGCCTTTCTTTGCTTCCCATCCACATGTCTTTTAAACATAGGTATGCCCCAGCCAGGGCTATTTTTGGGCAGGAACGCACAGGAACGGAGTTCCGGCTGGCTGCTGAGTTGGCCACACCCAGCAGGAACTCATTATCATAATAGGCCACACCCAACAACAGGAACTCATTAAGATTGGCTACATTAGGGGTGTGTGGCCTAACATGCAAAGGAGTTCCTGCTACAAAAAAAGCCCTGGGTTTTGACAGCAAACAAGGTAAACAGAATAAGAAGCAAAAGGTGGGTGTGGCTGGATGAGCACACTTCTGGTAACACGGGGGTGCGGCCTCATATGCTAATGAGCTGTGCTGTCAGGGGTGTGGCCTAATATGCTAATACATTTCTGTTGTTGGGTGTGGCCAATTATGCTAATGAGGTCCTGCTGGGCTTTTTCTACAAAAAAAAGCCCTGGCCCCAGCCATATATAAAGCAAGGGATATGACTTAAACTGTTGAAGGGATGATAGATTCAGGTAGGTAGCCATGTTGGTCTGAAGCAGCAGAACAAGGTTTGAGTCCAGGGGCACCTGTAAGACTAGTAAAGTTTTATTCAAGGTTTAAGCTTTCATGTGCATGCACACTTCTTCAGATACAGTGAAACAAGACGCCTTGTTTCACTGTATCTGAAGAAGTGTGCATGCACATGAAAGCTTAAACCTTGAATAAAACTTTGTTGGTCTTACAGGTACCCCTGGACTCAAGCTTTGTTCCGTAGAAGGGATGGTGAGCAAAGGATGCTCTTGCTCCCCCTCCCCACATTCCCTCTTCCCCATTGGCTTAGCTCCCAGCCAGGCTCGCTTCCAGGGCTAGTGCCCAGGAACTAGTGCTGCTCTGGGCCTGATGAGCCGTGGACAAAGTATAAGCGAGTGGACAGGACAATGCCTAGAGAGATGGAGTAGGACCAACTTCACCCTGTTTGTGACCAAGTGTGCTGCCCCCACCCCCTGCTGCGCGCATTTGCCCAAATGTGCGCACTGCATCCTACACATGCAGAAATCATATGCACACAAATACCAACCTCACAGTTGTGAATAGAGCTCATCTGTCTGGTCTGTGCGCCTTGTGCCCATTGAATCAAACAACCCTGGGAAGGGAGAGTGTCTGGTGAAGGTTCACCATCCCAACCCAGATGCCCATTTTGTACTTCAGAATCACATTTGTGGACCCACTTTAGACATGATGGTGAAAGTAGACCTGTGTTTAATGTCATGGATCATACCCACTCTGGCCTCATGGGTGTGAGATCTTGAAAAATAAATCTGAGATTCCCAGAGATCCAACAGAGGTTGGGGTGGGTGGGTGTATTCATGAATGTTCTAGTTTCTAACTATCATAAATCCAAGGTGGCTTGGGTAGAACATTCAAGGAGTGTTGAGGGAGAGACCTGGCAAGAGTGGGTTCTGCACACGGCCTCGTAGGTTGCGGCCAGATTTGACTAAAGTACTATCCAAGGGAAAATCTGGATGCTGTTTTCTGAGCTAAAAATTTGAGGAATTTAAGGGAAGCCTTAAAATATTTCTTATACCCCTTCTCAGTGAGACTTCTCTGGTGACTTTGTGAGTGTCCTAATGCTTCTGGCATTGCATCTGTCACTCAAACTTGCCTTCTTTTGAGAGGTTTTTGTTCGTGTGTATGTGTGTTAGATGCTGTCAAGTCGCTTCCTACGTATGGTGACCATGAATGAATGACCTCCAAAACATCGTATCATTGACAGCCTTGCCCAGGTCTTGCAAACTGAGGGCTGGTGGCTTCCTTGACTGAGTCATTCCATCTCATGTTGGGTCTTCCTCTTTTCCTCCTGCCTCCAACTTTTCCTAGCATTATTGTCTTTTCCAGTGACTCTTTGTCTTCTCATAATGTGACCAAAGCACAATAGCCTAAGTTGAGTCATTTTAGCTTCTAGGGAAAATTCAGGCTTATTTAGGACCTACTTATTTCTCTTTTTGGTGGTCCACAGTATCTGTAAAACTCTCCTCCAACACTACTTTCCAAAGAAATCAACTTTCTTCCTATCAGCTTTCTTCATTGTCTGACTTTCACACCCATACATAGTAATGGGGAGTATGATGGTATGAAATTATCTTTTCTTCTCATATTTCATCTTAAATAAAGGAATGTCTTGGGGGGGGGAGTAATGGGGGTGGCCAGAAAGCAATACCATGTGTGAATTTAGACATCTCTTCTCCCTCGTCCATCTATTAGGTGACTTGTTCCAGAAACCTTATATCTCTGGCTGTGCGGACGGTGCATCATTTGAGTTGACGGGTGCCGAAGATTATGTGCTTCTAGCCTGTGACGGGTTCTTTGATGCCATCAGACCCTTTGAGGTGGTGGACCTCGTTCTGGAGCACTTAACCCAAAGCCAAGGGGATGGCCTCAAGGCTGCTGAGAGGTTGGTGGCCGCAGCCAAAGAGAGTGGCTCCAGCGACAACATCACCGTCCTGGTGGTGTTTTTAAGGGAGCCCCAGCATGTCTTGGCTGACTGCCTCAGAGACCCCAGAAGCTGTTCCGCTGAGGATTGTGCAGCAGACTCACCCTTTAACTTTTTCAGCTCTGAAATGACAGGCTAGAAACAATGACCAAATCTGCTCAAAGTGCAACATCCAAACGCATGCAAGTAAAACAGGCCCCTTACCACTGGCGACAAAGACTGTTGAGTGGCGGACAAAATGGCCCGACTTGAGTGTCCAGATTTTCACTGCAAAGATGGGCAACCAGCATCTGGAATGCGCAGCGTCAGTGCAGATGAAGGTTCACCTGACTGTTCTCCACACGTCTTTTCCTCTCTCCCTCACCCCCATGGAAAACTAACATATCGGGGAAAGGATTCCAGCCTAGCTTTCTCCCCGACGTGCTACTTTTCTTTTCTCCGCACAGGGAAACTTCCGTATGGTGGAGCCCTCCACCACTTGAGCTTTCCTCCTGTGGTCTGAAGTGGTTCAGCTCAGACACTGGGAACCAGACCTTAAGAGAGCCGTAATTGGTTTGTGCTTTTACGACCCTGGTCATATCTCTGAGCCTGGCTCCAGTGTCTCGGGAGGTGGGGAAGAGTCTATAAGCTATAGATGAATCCTTGGGACTGTCTGGGATCATTTGGAATAGCACTTAAAGAGGACTGCATTTAGCTACTTCGTTATTATGTCTTGTGAATAAGCTACCATTGCCATCACCAAAGACTCGCTAATTCCCGCATACGCATTCAGTGTTAAAGTGTTGGAGAGTGGGCTCTTATGCTCTAGTCTATAACATGAACCGAAGCAGTCCCCTTTGCTTCATTGCTTACCAAAGAAAGACAGTGAATAATGTGTTTGTGAAGCTCAAGGGAAAAGAGATTTAAATGAAAAATGTCAGCAACAAAAAATCCACCAATAGTGAAATCCTACATAGAGTTACTGTAGTCCAAATCCATTGATTTTAATGGGCTTAGAGTGGAGTAACTCGCCATAGGTTTGCACTGTAAGACGCCAAACAAACGGCATGGGAAACTCCCGTATGGACATGCGGCTGTCTGTTAACTAGCTTCATGGTGGCAGTGGAAATATAGAGGGCTGCAACTGGTTCACCAAATGAAATTCCTGCACAGATCTCATTTATTCATGCTTTGGAGTCTGCCAAGTAACAAGTCACTGCTCTTGAGAGTTTTAGTATTGGTTTATCTTATCCAGTTAGGAGGGGATCTTGCCATCCCATAGTGAACTATGTATAAAATTAAGTACTTGGTTATTTTTTATACTGTTTTCTATGGTTGCAACATTTTACGTTTGGAGATTTTAAAAAAACATTGTATTTTGCAAAATGCTTAATTTAAAGTAGGGTTTAGATGTTCATAGAGGGTTATTTTTTCTTGGTTTAGCTGGGGTTTTTTTTTAAACAGGCCATTCTCAAGTGCCACATGCCATTCTTGACAAAGATGGAAAGGGCTGCTTTTTTCTATAATATTGTCTGGAGCATGTGTTATTATTGTATTCGTTTAGCACTTAAGCTGTTCCTATTTTGATGTATGCAAAAATCAAACATGGTTCCTGAACATTTCCACTCTGTCTTTCTGAAAAGACATGGTGCGTACAGGTTTTTTTAAAAAAAAATGCCTTTGTGATCAGCTGTCCGTTCAGCTGAGTGCCACTTCCAGGTTCTGATTCTAAAACTACATGAGCTGGCAGCGGACCCCCTGGTTTTAACCCAGCAAAGCATGGCCTCCTCAGCAGGATTAGCCACAGTTAGCCCTTGGATGGGAGACCACCAAGGAAGTCCAGGGTTGCTACAGAGAAGAAGGCAATGGCAAAACACCTCTGCTTGTCTCTTGCCTGGAACTCCCCCATGTATGGGGTCGTCACGAGTTGGTTGCAACTCCATGGTATGTTCTTCTTCTCGACTCTCATTTTCATGCATACATCTTTTGTGCTTAATATTGAGCTCCCGCCCCCTGCTTTCTACATGTTTAGAGCAGACTCCGGTTTAAACCAGTGGGTCCTCTGCCGTCTCATGTTGAGCTGGGTTCAGGATCTGATCGATGTACTATGTAGTATTTATTCTGGTTTCATCTGCCAACATGGAAAACCACTTGGCAGGTGGTGGAACGTTGGGGTCATGCTCAGTTCTGGCTTGTTCTGATATGTGTTGCCTCCCAGATAAAAACGTACATTGTGTTTTTTTGAGTCACCATCTTGAAAGGCTATGAGAGGGCAAACATCAGAGGCAGAAGCTTCTCTGTGGAAGCGAGAAGTGTTCATTGCACTTGGGAAGTAGCCAGCTAGTAGAGGATCAGCAACTCAGAAAATGTGCCAATTCATTATAGAAACAGCGAGTCAAAAATGGCTAGCTAAAAAGAGGACCAATGAACTAATGCTCTTCAAGATATCTCACCAGCAGAGCTTCTTGGACAGTGTCTCATGACCTCTTCACAGGTAAGGTGGTGACAGTGAATAATCTGCATCTGAAAGTAAATTTGGAAAAACATTCTTGCCTACATAGTGTCTAAAGTGGGAGGCAAGAGTATCAATAGCTGACCCTTGTTTAAGGAGACTTGCAGTTCCCTCGGTAGTATTTGAAGCTGTTATAAGCCTGCTCAGACTTCCCTTTTCCCCTGATCAGTAGGGTTGCTAGCTATGAGTAGGAAAATACCTGGAGTTTTTGGGGTGAAGCCTGAGGAGGGCGGGGATTGGGGAGGGGAGGGACTTCAACGAGGTATAATGCCATAAAGCAGGTATGTCCAACAGGTAGATCGCGATCTACCAGTAGATTGCGGAGGGGTCAGAGGTAGATCACCAGCCCCACTTGGTCTCCTGGTTTGCTGGACAGGTGTTTGGGGTTTTTTTGATGATTGTTTGGTGGTAAAAAATGTTTGCAGTGCTTTCTGGATATTCGCCTCTCTGTTTTGTTTTTGCTTATTTTGCTTACCAGTAAACGACAGAAGGTGCATCTTAAATGGTGGGGGCAGTGGAACCCAACTTTAGTGGGTTAAAATCTAATTTGAAACTTTATTTTCATGGTGGTAGATCATCGGCACCTTTGGCCAGAAAAAATAGATCACTACCTGTTCGAAGTTGGACATGCCTGCCATAAAGTCCACCTTCCAAAGCGAACATTTTCTCCAGATGAATTCATCTCATTTGCCTGGAGATCAGTTGTAATCCCAGGAGATCTCCAGCCAGTACCTGGAGCTTGGCAACCCTACTGATCAGGCAAACACTTAATTTTGTGAGAATATTGACAATGACTACTTTCTGCAGTTCAGCACTGTTTGGAAACACTGGATCCATTCTAGCTCTTATCAGTCTGTAACAGGGGTCATTTCGTAGAAAAAGAGCTAGGGGAACTCATTAGCATAACTCATTAGCATATGCCACACCCCCTGACATCAGGGGCCCGGCGGTGGACCTGCAAGGCCAGCGGGAGTGCGAGGAAACCCCGCCAAGGCCCTCCCTGGCCCCAGGCAGGCAGGGGTGGGGAGAGGCGGGGAGGAAGCAACTTACCCTCCCTCTTCTCCTGCCTCCTCCTGGCTGAATGAGGGCTGGAAGCGGAGCGGCCGGAAGCAGGGGGCGGGGCTCCGTCATGTGCCCCGCCCCCTGCACCTCACCCGGGGGAACTTCGTTCCCCCGCGTTCCCCCCCGAAATGACCTTTGGTCTGTAAGGTAATTAAGGCAAAACAAAGGACAGTGTCTTGTTTCCAGCTTTCTTTCTTGGTGGTTTCTTGAGGTGTGGCCTCTAGGTAGAAAACCCTGTGAAGAATGCTTTGTGGAACTCCTTCCCTTCCAGATGGGTGGATGTATGGCTGTAGAAGGCTTGCCAAGAAGCATTCTGTTCCTGATCCCCATCAAGGCATTGGGGAGGAATCTTCACCACCTTAGCGGGCCTCCTTTTGAAGCCATGGTAGTTAAAGCATGAGGCAGATGACCTTTCATGTTCTGTTGTAGCATCTGCCGCTTCATTCCAGGAGGAAACGGAAGAGTGACAGTGTGGCATAGTGTCACTATCACCATGTTAGTTGACAGGGTTTGGGTTGTTTTTCTTAGGATCCCTTTGTTTTTAAGAAACAGCTTGGTAGAACTGGATTTAAAAAATGGCATTTTGTGAAATTATCCACTTCCGGGGGGGGGGGGAACCCTGGGCTAAATTTCAGCCCTGTCCCATATGGCCCAGGCTAGCTCAATATTATCAGATCTTGGAAACCAAGCAGGGTCAGCCTTGATTAGCACTTGGATGGGAAACCAGCAACGAAGTCCAGAGTCGCTATGCAGAGGCAGGAAATGGCAAAAACCAACTGTGAACATCTCTTGTGTAAAAACCCTGTGGGTCGCCATTAGACGGCTGTGACTTGGTGGCACTTTCCACCCTCAAATTTTGGACTAAATTCGTTCAGGCTACAATCCAGCCTAAATTTACGATTTCTGCCTGTTCCTCCTCCCTGCTGCAGACTCCTCTCCTGTCACTCTGTCCTGCAGCAGCAGTGTTAGTGGGCGACCACTGGGCTGCAGTTGGAGGAGAGAGGCAAGGAAGTTCCATTCCACTGATGCCAAATTTAGTCTGGATCCAACCTGTTGTCTTCTTCTTTCGTAATTTTGCTGCGACATGATCTGGGGAAGGTACTGGGGGGTGGGGGGGGAAGGAGAGGTAGTCTGCCTTGCAGCTGAATTGGGGCGGCAAGACTCTTATGTATATGCCTAGTTCCTGCCCTAGCCACTTACACACACACACACACGGGTATTTCTGTGAAGCCAGTATTAGCAAGCTACATACCCTAGACCTGCCCCCACCAGATCATAAATGATAAATGGACAGCATTCTGATGTAAACAAGGAGAGCACTTTGAGGGGAGAAGGCTTCCTGTCACAGCCTGTTAATCTGTTTGACATGCAGCAGTGTTCTGCAGCACCATTCAGAGAGCAAGAGAAATGTGCAGAACTGTTTTTAGAACCGTGGGGGAGAGGAAATTAAGTAAATCCACCCTCTAATTGTGGTGATGGGAGCAGAGAGGGTAGGATGGGAAAGCATTTAAGGATTATTAGGTGCTCTTTTATTTTTTTTTAAAGGGGACCAGCTAGGAGATTGGGCTGCAGATGTCAGTTTCTTGCAGATAAATGTGAGGTGCTGGAAGAAGCAAGAAACCTCTTGCTGGAAAGGGAATCCGATAAAGGCATTTATTGAACATATGTGAACATAGGTGCTGTCATGCCCTGTGAGACCATCAGTCCGTATTTCACCCATTATTGCCTAGTGGGAGCAGCTCTCCAAGGTCTTGGGCAAGTAAAGGTGTTTCCCAGCTCTGCTACCGGAGAGCCCTTTAACTTGAAGTAGTGGGGATTGGGGCCTTTGGGTGCCAAGTATGTGCTGGAACACTGAGCTATGGGCCCTCCCAAATTACAGGGTTGCTGTCAGAGAGCGAGAGCCAAACAGCATCTTAAGTGGTGCTTGGCTGCCACTGGGTGAATATGTGTGCCCTGGAATATTTGTGAAAGTATTTGTGAATTTCCT